CTGTCACAGGCAGGGATTGCACCAGGGTCTGATCCCGCATTCCAGGAAGCTGGTACAGCACATCCCGGTGTGGGACACCACCACATGCTCCAGCTCTGCCAGCAATCACAGCTCATTTATTAACAGGGGGAAAGGGATGCAGGGGAGAGGCTTTGTTAGGGGAAGATGGGCCAGGACCCTCTTTGTGCTGCTGGAGGCTCCTGATTGCTGATGGGTAACCTGCAGCTATGGTGCCTGCGCTGGTCCGAGGTGGCAGCAGGGGGAAATGACACAGGGGGAAGCTGCAGACAGGGTCCCAACGGGCTTGTCCTTGGGGGCTGCTGCAGGGTTGTGTCACCAGGCTGGGGAGCTGCCCTGGGAGGGGACAGGGTGCTGAGCTGGCACCAGGGTGCCCAACCCCCAGCAAAGGGTCTGGGTCCCTTACCTTCATCTGCTGCACCCCAGCCTCCACCCCCATCCCAGCTCACAGCCAGGATCCCGGGGTATCTGTGGATGTGGACATGAATCCATCCAGGAGTGGATTACACCCACAAGCACGGGAGCTCCCAGACCCAAATCCCTGGGGACACCCCACTCCTGCTGCCAGCTGGTGCCTAGACTGGGGGTGTGCAGGAAGAGCCTCAGTCTCTGGCAGTGGGGTGGGCTGTGGAGGAACACCCCAATCCAGGTGCTCCAGCCCCTTCAGATATCTCCCAGTCCTCCCACCAACACTACCTGCTTTGGATGGGGTAACCTGTGGGCCCCTCATACCAGTGCCATAAGGGGCTGCAAGGACAGACACAGGGCTACAGGGACATGTGCAGGGGACACAACCTGGGAGGCTGTGGGGACTCAGTGGTACACTGGAGACACACAGTGGGGCCAGGAAGACACCAGGACTGTGCAGGCATGCAGGAATGTGCACTGGGGTTGTGGGGACAGGCACACCCCAATGCCCACTGGAGACCCCTGCCAGCAGCCAGCACAGGAGAGACTCGGGGCTGGGACTGAAAAAATCCCAGATGTAGCACATTCCCAACTCCTGAATGCTGCAACGGAGCACAGGGGTGACAGGAGGGCCAGCATCGCCCCCTGGGTTCAAGCCCACCACCCGTCTCTCCCTCACCTCCACAGACAATCCCGCTGGGCCCTGCCAGGCCTTGCTCTCCCATTGCTGTATCTATGTACTAAGGATGTTATTTTATCAGACTCTGGACAGTATTCCCAATTAAAAGCTGACCTATGTAAATAGGAAGGGGTGGTCTGTCTGTTCTATGTGCCCACAGCCCCTCCACAGTGTTTTCCAGATTCATTTCTTGTACTTCACAGTGGAGGTGGCGACTGGCAGCTTGAACGGGTTGGTGGCATCATGGCTGCTGAAGCACATCACTCTGGCCACCGCCGCCCGCTTCCCACACACCAAGGGGCTCCCAAGAGTCACCCTGCAGAGAGGTGACACCGGGGAGTGCACCCCAACCTGGAGACAGGGGCCCCCATCATGGCTGGGGGAGCATCTTGCCTCTCTGCTTAGAGCCCCCCACACCCAGGAGTGGTGGCTCGGGGTGGGCAGAGCTTTGAAGCCATGGGTGGGGGGCAGAGGGAGAGCACCCTAATGTTAAGCATGAGTGGATGGTCAAGGGGGAGTACCCCAACACTGTAAAAGGGACCACCCCAACACCACTGGTGGGAGGCTGAGGAAGAGCACAGAGCTGGTGCAGCACTCCTGGGAGCAGGGGGATGTCACCAAGATGTGAAAGCTCTTGAGGGTAAGAGGAAATGACACTCAGCTGCTCATCCTGGCTGCAAGTGCAGCTACACCAAGGTGTGAGACCTTCAGCCCCGTCCTCAGCAGCGCTTCCTGGCACTGCCAACACTCCCATTCCTCCAGCCCCACAGCAGACCCTTCCCCACCCCCACTTGGAGCAGGAGCAGGTGGTTTTCCATTGTCTTTAGGTTGTAGCCAGGGTGGGGACAGGCCGTGCGGATAGGAAAGGTCTGTGTGGCTGCCCCGCGGTCCTGCGGGCTGTGCAGCCCCATCACCACCTTCCCATTGTCCCACGTCCTGCCCCACAGCAGGAGCCAGTGTCAGCCTGGTGCTGGTCACTCGGAGCCTCACCAAGACCCCTGGCCCTGCCATGGACTCACCCCCCAGTGTGCAGCTGTCAACACCCAGTGCTGCTGCAGTAGCACTGCCCTGCAGGCATGAACCCTCCCAAACTGCAGGGACACCATATAGGGCCAGGGGTGAGGCTTGGCCTAGTGTCCCCTGATGATCGATGGCTGGAGCCAGCCTCACGCTGTGGGGAGAGGAGATCTGTCCTAGTCCCTGACCAGCACCTGCCACAACCTGGGCAGTGACACTGAGACCCTGCCAGCCACCCCCAACCCACTGCCCTGGTGCTCACTTGCAGGGAGCAGCAGCAGCAGCCCCAGGCAGTCCCTTGCCACCATCCCTGCCTGCTCCACATCCCCTGAAGTGGCCACCAGCACAGTGGCAGAGGAGCTCCACATCAAGTGTGAGAGTGCAGCAGGGCAGCAGTGGGGCACAGACTATGTAAGGGGGGCAGGAAGGGGAAGAGGCACCCACAGGGTAACACCTGTGGGGGTGGGAAGCACCCACAGCCCCACTGTGATGGGCTTTGCAAACAGAAAGTGGCATCTTCAGCTCTCTTTTTCACAGAATCAATCAGGTTGGAAAAGACCTCTGAGATCATCCAACCTGTGAGCTAACACCACCCTGTCAACTAGACCACGGCACTAAGTGCCATGTCCAGTCTCTCCTCAAACTGGTACTTGCATGAGAACAACCACCTTCTGATGAGATTTATGACAGTCACTGGGTGACCCAAGACTGGTACTTGCATGAGAACAACCACGTTCTGATGAGATTTGTGACAGTCACTGGGTGACCCATTCCCACCACCTTTATTAGCCAAGCAGGACAGTTTTCCCCAGCTGTCCCTCAGCTTGTCCCTTTGGGTGGGACCCTCCTGGCTCCACTCCCCGCCAGGCGGGATTGCCTCAGGCTGGCCGTAAGTCGCTCGAAGAAGAACTTGTTCTGGTAGTCCAGCGGGATGAGGTGCTGTAGGAACGAGGGAACCTCGGCCCTCGTCACTCCCACGCACACAGGGACCACCTTGGTATCTTGGTGGTGGATGACGTGGTATAGGTTCCACTCGGAGACACGTTGGCACCACGGATCACCCACAGACCTGGCAGAGAGGAGCAGGATGGCCACCCGGCTGGCCTGGATGATCTCCGTGGCCGCCACGATGACAGATGTCCCAGCCACTTGGTCCTGGTGCTCCGTGAAGCCCCGGAAACCCTCTTGCCTCAGGCGCTCGGCGATGTGGGAGGCGACATGGTCATCCTCAGGGAAATACCAGAGAGAAAAGTCGTAGTAGAAAGTGTGACGTGAGGGCACAGAGGACATGGCACCCATGAGCAGACAATTCAGGGACCAAACGTGGGTCCAAGCCTTGGTTCCTGCACTGGGAACCTACAGATCCAACTGTTCCCTGGGAAAAGGTCACTGAGGCCCTCGCACACTGATGATGTCCCAAAAGTAAATCCAGATCCTCCCATAAACCCAACACAAACGCTCCAACCCGGATTTGGGCGGGTGAAAACACAGCGTGGGGTGGCCCGAGGTGCCCACCACAGTCCGGGGCACCTCCGGGACGCGCGGAGAGGAGCCTGGAACGCCGATTCTGACCTCAGAGCGCCTTTTCCCTCATGTCGGCGATGCCGCGCT